AGGGGGGCAGAGGACATTGCTGGGAGTGGGTGGAGAAGGGGGCCAAATGTCACTGCTATGGTGGAAAGGGGGGGCAGAGGACACTGCCGTGGGGAGGGGGAGGTGATATGAAGGGAGGTAGAGGACAATGATATAGGGGTGGCCCTGCCCATAGCAGTATCCTCTGAACATCACCCCCCCCAGTAGTGTCCTCTGCCCCCCCTTTCCCCCATAGCAGTGACCTCTGGCCCCCTTCCCCCAGCAATGTTTTTTGCACCCCTTTTCACCAGCCTCCTCCACTGCTGCGGTCATCCTCAGTGCTCAACAGAGAGCGGGAGTCAGCACAGCTCAGGACGAAGGGTGGGAGGAGGAGCTAACCAAATGAACTTTTCATATTAACCCACAGGTGATTGGTTGCTAGGTCAGTCCTAGCAACCAATTACTAGGCTGTTAATATGAAAAGTTTCCTGTTTTGGGGGTCATCTCATTGTTGCCCATCTAGTGCACCTGTTGTTAATTTCAATGACACCAAAACAGCTGAAACTGATTAACCCCCTCTGCTACTTAACTAACCAGATCAATATCCCAGGAGTTTAATTGACTTGATGCTATATTCTGATTAAAAAGCCTTCCTTGAATTTTTTTGAGCAGTCTATTTTTCTCTCTTGGGTGTATTATATACCAAGTAACTATTAATCCAACTTCTGCATTAACTTGTCTAAAGAAAAAAAACAGGAGATTGCATCCCAGGAGGGAGATGCCTATCCAATTCAGACATTGTTACCTTGTTGAATAACATTGTTCCCTATAAACAATAGCAGCTCCTCAATCTCAGTTTTTTAGGGCCAACGAATTAAGCAAAACTATTGAACACAAATTTTCACATATGAAAATTATAGACAAAAATTATAATGTAAAATTATAATGTAAAAATAACATAATACCCCATTGACAACAATAGATGCTCATGTTCAGTATTAAAAGGACAAGAGGGAAAGCCAAATAAACCCCAACACTCAAATCTTCCCCCAGGAACATTGATTATAGTCTGTGTGTATGGACACATAGGATAACATGCTGGGGAGTTTACTGACTGTAGAAAAAACCGTCAAAAGCCAAAAACAGCCGCTGTAAAAACGTCCACGTGCATGAGGACTTAGTGGTTCTAGTACCTATGGATCTTTTAAAAATGATCTATAGAATCTATGGATTACTAAGTGCTTCCTTTGTTATTGGTAAATCTTTATACATTTTCTCCTTTTGACACAACTGGTATTTACACATCCAAAGAATGATAGAAGGTGGCATACATATTATTAAAAACAGAAATAGAAAATTCAATCTATTCTGCTAAACTCTGGTCATGTGCTTGACATTCTTGCCTGTAATGCTTGTCACTGGACTGCAATTACTATTGTTTGTTTTCCCTTTAGTGTGCCATGTTTTCCATAAGTGGTTTGAATTACTGCCGATTGCTATTGAATTGGCCAAAATTTGAGCCATGGATGACCCGTTGGCACCACCCAGCTTGACGTGCTTTATTGTAAATATTAAAGGATCTGGGTGAAAAATGATTGGCCTGAACAGCGACTGCTTGCTATCAGATGCAGTTACTGTTCCAGTATTCAGGCAGCAGCTGGTGACAAGGACTGCCTATACAAATACCCAGTAGTGCTGATTCCCCCAGGCGGAACAAGAGAAAACAAAGCGTGAAAAGCTTGCCTTAATTTATATAAGTGGTCTTTAAACAGTTGCTTTGTTGCTATCTGTGGCCATCAGTAATGTTCTGTATCTCATGGAAACTTGAAAGCACTTGCTTAGAGAAGTTTCTCAAAAACAACAAACTGTATACACAGTTGAATTGTTTAAATTGATGAAAGATTTGTTATTCTAATCCTCTGGTTTTGTGAATCATATCCTATGGCTACACTGAATAGCCATCCAGTGACACCTCTGTATCCTGTTTCACTTTTGCAGCTTCTTGTGTCTCCTCTCCACCTCCCGTCTGCTCAGTGAGAAAGGAATCAGCTTCATAACTTGTGTCCGTTGAGCAGGTGGATGAGGTAGGAAGGTGTAACACTGAAAAAATGACCAGTGGCTCATTTTATCAATAGCTATTGTTATAATTAGTCATCGTTCGTGTCACTTGTTATAGCTGAATTTGGATTACCATATGAAAAAATAGTGGATATCTGCTTTCTTATCCAGGGATGGAGCAAGCAGAAAATAATCAAAGTGACTTGATGAACTAAGCCAAGATCAATTTAAAGTATAGCTGAAGGCAAAACCTTTTTAGTTTTGAGTAGAATGGATAGGGATTAGAACACTTGTTGGGATTATTGCTATCTGTGCCCCCATTCACCCTGTTGATTTGGTCCTGTTTACTGTTATCAACGAAAGGAAAAGTGAAAGAATATCCCAAATTGTGAGTGGTCACTGGAACAGGAATAGAGCAGAAATCGTCCAGTGTGGACACTGCTGACTACCAGGATTTCCCTCACTTTGGAGAGGACTTCTCTCATTTCCTGTTGTGACTATGGGACAATAAATAAAGAAAAATCTTTCAATGAGATACAAATGGCAAAAAAAACCAGACCGTATTTAAAACCCTCCTTATCCAAAAAAATGTTTTGTCTTTAGTTCTACTTTAAAGACACTGTTTAGAAAAATAATACAGTGGTACCTCTTTCTACTTTTGGCTATATACCCTTTCATCTGTATACAATTGTCCTCAAAAGTGGCTCTGAACAAAAGTTTACATACCCTGGAATATTTGGTTTTGTTACAGGCACACAAGGTGACACAAATAGGCTAACATAGCAATTAAAGGTAAATTTCCCACATCTTTGGCTTTTTAAATTGCAGTTAGTGTCTATGTATAAATAGTCAATGAGTTTGTTAGCTTTCATGTAGATATACTGAGCAGGCTAGATACTGAGCCATGGGGAGCAGAAAAGATCTGTCAAAAGACCTGTGTAACAAGGTAATGGAACTTTATGAAGATGGAAAAGGATATAAAAAGATATCCAAAGCCCTGAATATGCCAGTCAGTACTGTTCAATCACTTATAAAGAAGTGGAACTTGCTAGAAGAATTGTTTCGGATACAAAGAAAATCCCTCTGGTAACTTCAAAAGAAAAACAGGCTGCTCTGGAAAAAGAGGGTGTGGTTGTTTCAAGGAGCAGAATACAATGACACTTGAACAAAAATCAGCTGCATGGTCGAGCTGCCAGAAAGAAGCCTTTAATGCGCCAATGCCACACAAAACCCTAGTTACAATATGCACAACACCTTAATACGCCTCACCAGGCTTTTTTTGAGTCATTGGCACAGTAAAGGCTTCTTTCTGGCAACTCTACCATGCAGCTTATTTTTGTTCAAGTATCGTCACAGTGTGCTCCTTGAAACAGCCACACCATCTTTTTCCAGAGCAGCCTGTATTTTTCCTGAGGCTACTTGTGTTTTTTTCTTTGTATCCTGAACAATTCTTCTGGCAGTTGTGACCAAACATTCCAGGGTGTGTAAATTTTTGATTAGAGCCATTTGGGTGATTTCTGTTATCATTCTGATTTAAAAAGGAGCCAAACAACTACGTGATAATATGTGGCTTCATATGATCACTATCCCTATATAAAAAACCGTTTCAATATCAATGCCAATATTTAATGATTTCTGCCAGGGTATGGAAACTTTTGAGCATAAGTGTAACTGCACACATACCAATCTCGCCTAAGGTAGACCTAAACCTAATCACAATAATTCCATATAAACTGAAGTTCTTCTGTAGAAAACGGCAAGCAGACAGGCTTTTATTGCAGAAAAGACATGCAATAAAATGCCCGACTGCCTGCTCATTGTCTTCTCCAGTGCTGTAAACTGAGCTGAGCATGCGAAGCTCAGCTTACAGGGCTGGGGCTGGTCTCTGTGTGCTGAGATGACGGCCACTTGTGCATTCATAGGACGTCATCCCAGCGCTGGCAAATAAAGACAGCCAAAGTTTGGCACACAGGAGAAGGTGCCAGCGAGGAACTGTTGGAAAGGTTGGAATATTAACCCCTTTAGTTCCGTCTTAGCACATTAGTGTAATTTTAAAAATAATTTTCAAACTATTAAAATCTGCAGCTTTCATTAAACAAGGCCATTCATACCATGATCATCACTCATTATTTTAAGTACTTAAGTTATAGGGTGCAAAGGTTCTGTCCTTGCCCACCAAATGTGATTCTGCATTGTCCCCTACAAGTGGCCGTGCCAACAAACATTGTGCTAACATGGTCCACTGTTTTCAGGAAGCCATCTCAGAACAATGACATGCAGCCAATGCTGAAGCAAGAACATGTACACAGAGGATGGCAGAAGGAGACCAGAATTACTGACATGCAAAAAAAGTTTTAAAAAAGGGAGAAAAGTATTTTTTTTATAAAAAATGGCAATTGTTTAAGTCTTCATGCATACTGGACATTTCTACAGCTGCTGTTTTTGGCTTTTGACATTTTTTCTACAGCTAGTAAACCCCCCAGCATGTTATCCTATGTGTCCATGCACACATAGACTGTAATCAAAGTTTTTTTGGTTGTAAAACAAACCCAGAACTAGTGGGTTTCTAGAGACGTTTTTTAGATGTAAAAATGCTCTAATGCTGTAAAATGCGGTATATTGCGGCAAACCAGCATTTTTTAAATTTTTTTTATAAAAAAAAATCTTTTTTGGACAAAAAAACCTCTAACATTCACCGGTAAACGCTAATACAACAAAAATGCTGAAAAACTCACTGACTTTACACAGCTAACGTTACTAGCATTATTAAAACGTCCAGCGTGCATAGAGCCTAATACACAATGCATTAGCATACTAAATATCCTTTTCTTTGGTTCCTGTCTCATTCTAAACTATTCAGCCATCAATATAGCCATTGACAAACACTTGCAAATATATAGGTTCTCTAATCTGTTTATTATATCAAACTGTGCAACCTGTACTGTGTAACCATTATTTTCATTGTCTTTGTCTTCCAGTACGCAATGTTTTTATCCCTGGTGTTCCTGGCTGAACTGATTGCTGGAATCTCAGGCTTTGTGTTCCGGCATGAAGTAAGTGGAAAAGACATTTTTATTTGTTTTTGTATGTCAATATATAGAACAATCTTAGATGCGCTCTCTCTTATTAATAATACATTCAGGCTGCAAATTGGCTTTTTCCTGCTTGTGATGGTCAAATGTACCCCACACTTGAATATAGTAGTACACCAGCAAACCACAGTAAATAATTGCAGTTGTATGGCTTGTTGATTTATCTCTCTTCTTTCCGCAGCCAAGCTCAGGAAAAGTGCTAGTTAAAGCTGAGCAGTCACTTAAGAAATTAGACTTTGACCAGCGTCCAATGCACTTTGTAACTGGAAAATGTCAATAATTTTTGTCGCTCTCCACAGACTGCTTGCCAAAAAAACTGGGTGATGTTGTGATGCTACAGACACATACAGCTTTTGTAAATAGTAAATGTTTTTCACATAGTGTTCACAGATATGTCATAAGAATATGTCAGAGTATGTGAGAACAAGGGATGAGCTATAGGTTTGGGTCAAGTTCGACTCAAACCCAACCTCTTTGCAGTTTGGTAAATGGGCGAACAATCTGGCCATATTTCTGATGTAGCTGGAAGCCTGTCATATAGGAGTGGTAGCACTGTCGTGGCAGGTCCCCACCACCTTGTGTTTGTAAACAAGCTTGTGGGGGTCCTGGATGACATCATTGACCAAATATTGTCATGACTATTTAGTCAATGAGGTCACCCATGATCTCCACCACTTTGTTTATTTCCTGCAGTATCAGGAATCTGTCAACACTGTCACTCATTGATTGTTGTGGATCTACATTGCTGGATAGCACTGTTGACGTTGGATTTTCATCAGGATCATTGTCTATTACCCCTTACTCAATCACCAGTAGAGATGGATATCTGGGGGCTATTTGTTCTAAAGGGGCTTCCAGATTACAAGAATTCCCCCTTTCTCACGCAGACCCCTGCATTTTTTGGGGGGACAGGATTTGCAAATGAGGATCATGTAAGGCAGACTTTTTCAGCCAGGATGCCCAGGCACCCTGGGTTGCCTTAAAGTTTCTTCAGGGTTGCCTTGGAAAAATGTCCAGAAATTGTATGCCTATCTGGACAAAGGCACAGGTTTAATTGTGCACCATTACAACCTTCCAGCTACTGGCATTATAACAATCAATGAAGTCATTGGTTGAAAAGGAGGACGTTGGGCACCTGCATAGCATCCTTGTTTGCTCTCCCTGCCCCTGTCTATTAGCACTTGGGTCACATTAGCTGAGTGAGGAAGTGAAACTGAGGCAGAAGAAAAACATTAGTCCGTACCAGTGTGCAAAGGTGTATTTGCTTTGGAAGAATAAATCCCATCTAAAGTTATGTGTCCTACATGTGTAGATGTTGCTGCATTATCTAAAACTAGTAGTTACATTTTTTACATATTAGAGTGGGGTGCCTCAAGATTGTGCGTAATTTTAAAGGGTGCCCTGACTGAAAAAAGGTTGAGAGCATATGGCATGGTTCAAGAGGTGTGTTGCCACTTGCTGACCACCCCTTTTCATAGCCAGGCAGGCTGCATGGCTTGATAAGGTTCTAAGTTGAATTTTTAGGGGGACTCCACAATTTGTTTGTGCTGCTAATTTAAGAGAAAATGGCATGGGATATCCCTAAAATTCATACCTGATCCCTATCCAGGCAAGCAGGCTGGCTGGCTGGCCAAAAAAGGAAGTCAACGCCTCCTCCCCTTTGCAGGGCACCTTGATGTGGACAAGGCCCACATCCTACATCCTGTTCCCAAAAAAGGATCAGCAGTAGTTTTGTAGGATAATTTAGAATAAAGGTCCCCCTAGATACCCCCCCCCCCCCCCCCACACACATCTCCAGGTGAATGAGTAAGAGGTACTCATTCACAGAATAATAAAGGTAAATCGTTAACAAAAAACGCCCACACTGCAAAAAAAAATCTTTTTTTTTTTTTTTTTTTTTTTAATAATAATGTACCCAATTTTAAATCCAGTGTCACACAAACCTTCCAGGGATGTGGACACAATGTCCTGCCATGTGTGATCAACTTTACCTGACGCTGCTCTCAACGCTATTATGCCATCAGTGTGGGGGCATTGACCAAATATGGTTGTACCATCATGACAATATTTGATCATTCATGTCACCAGGGATCCCTTCTGCTCAGGAGATCTGCCATCAAGTTGGCAAGGGGACATCATTTTATTTTTTCATGGTTTGGGCATTTTTATCTACTATTTAATTTTTTTTCTGAATGAGTAACAAGGGGTACTGTGTACTCTGTACTCTGTACTCATTCATGGGGAGTTGGGCACTGGATATCCTGGGGCCCCTTATTTAGTAAGTTCCCCCTTCACAGACTCTTTCAAATGGATGTGGGGGACAGGATGTAGGAACAAGACCCTTGTACCAATGTTGAGGAAATGTGGCCTTGTATGGTTCATGGTCTAGTATGGGGCACATGCAGAATGCATTCCTGGATATAATTATTTTATACATTTTTGAAAGACCAGGTGCTGTTTTTTTTTTCCCCCTCTCCCCTCCCTTTCCCATGTGAATGTATAAGTGCTCTTGTTACTCATGCACAAAAAGTAAATATTAAAAAACAGTGAAAAGTGATTTTACATAAAATACTGCCCCTGTATATAAATCCAATGTCAATCATAATGACTTGCCAACACGATCAGTCATGAAAGACTGTCTTCACCTGCCACTGTTCCTGTCATAAATGACAGATCCCTGTGGCTCCTGAAAAAAAACAAAAAAACAAATATTGTCATGACTATATTTGATCAATGATGTCATCCTTGAACTCCAGCCCGTCTGTGTAGAAACAGGCTGGCGTGAATCTGTTATTTAGAGGCATCATATAGGTACATGACCGACTCCGAGCCGCTGTTTGTAAAAAAAAAAAACAAAAAAAAACTTTTAAAGGAGTACATCCTACTGCTTCAGATCTTCAACTGCAGGTTTAACGCATCTCTAAAGCATGTTATTTAAGGGATATGTGTACTTTTATTGTTGCTCTTTATGTTAAAAGACCCTCTTCCTGCTAAAGGGTATTTTTTTCTTCTTGCATTGCCTCATGTCTCACTGCAGTGCCCAGCTACCCATACCGTTTTTTCGACAAAGGCTAATAAATTGCAAATTGACTTTGAAAAGGCCAGAAAAAATAACAGGCTTTGGCTCCCATAGACTTGCATAAGGGTTGGCACCATGTTTGGGTTCATCTGTTTTGTTCCTGGGTGCACCAAACCTCCTGCAAACTTAACTTTGCTCAGTTTTCTTGTCAATAACAAGAATCCTTGGCTGGACACAGCCATTTAGTTTTGCTTTGTGACAAATTCACTTTATAGTTAACTGAGATGTGTACTGGATGCAAAGATCCAGCCTCATTTTATTTGTGATGTGAAGTGGAAAACAAGATACACTTGGGAAGCGTTTGTTTTTAGTCTTTGCTTCCTTTGTTTTCTCATTCACAAAGTAAACTCAAGCCATTCCAGCATGTTTATTTTGCCAACATGATAATGAGCAGGTCAGGCTCTGGGTATGAGCAGGAAAATATGTGATTTTAATCTCAGTGCAGAAAAACAAACGTGTGTTGGATTTCTCATCATTTTAGCTGTATTTTTTCATTTTCATACATATCATATAGTAAATTTTATGTTGTTTTAGTTACTTTTTACAATAGACGTAAAATGAAAAATACATGGTACGCCTTTTCTGATTTTTGTTTGAATGAAGACAATCCGAAGGGACTGTTCTTATCCTGGAACTCTTTCACAGCCATCACTGTAAAAGGCTAATGTTGGCAGCAGCAGCAGGGGTCTTTAAGGTTCCATTCAGACGGGTGCTGACTCCCTTAGTCCATGAATGAGTGGCTTATTAGTGTGGCTTCAGCAGCCAGGTGCTGTGTTCAGGCAGCCGATTCATGTCTGTTGGGACGCAGCGGTTGCATAGACACAGCCACTCACCCCAAGTTGGTGAGTATCTTGGAACGCACACAGTCTGTGTTTGGGGCCACTCACCCCCCCACGACTCTCAATAAAAGCACTCTTCACGGACTAGGAGGGTCAACTCCTTTCTTGGAACGCACATTGTCTGCGTTTGGGGCTACTCACCCCCTTGACTGTCAATCAAAGCACTCTTCATGGACTGGGGGGGGGGGTCAACTCCTGTCTTGGAACGCACATTGTCTGCATTTGGGGCCACTCACCCTCTTGACTGTCAATCAGAGCACTCTTCACGGACTAGGGGGGTCAACTCCTGTCTGAATAGGGCATTAAAACCCCCTTGCTGCTGCTGACATAAGCCTTACATCGGTGGCTGTAAAGGGAAATAGCAGACTCTTCATATTGCCTTCAGTTTAACAAAAATGTGGAAACTTGTACCAAATATATTTAGTTTTGCTTCCATTTCGAAAAGCAACAAAAACACTATAACATGTACAGTGTGTAACAAAATGGAAAATACAGTTTAAATGATAAAGAATCCAACACTAGTTTGTTTTTTGCATTTGAGATTAGAATCACATTTTTCCTGCTCATACCCTGAGCCTGACCTGCTCATCATGCTGGCACAACAAACATGCTTGAATGGCCTGAATGTATTTTGTGAATGAGGTAAAAGCACAGAAAAATACTTATTTGCAGTGTATTTCCCTTCCACAAAGGACTTGGTAGAAAGTTTCACTAGTTCATTCCCTAGCACAGCCCCCTCCCTCCTTGCATATCATAGCTCTCTTCTTCTGGGAGTGTCTAATTACTGTCTGTGCTGGCCCAGCTTTTCTGCCCCGCTCTTCACCTATCTATATGACCTTTTATGTAGCTGCTGGAGAGCAAGGAAGGGAAATACTACAGAGTATCACCTGAGGGTCAGCTCTAAGTCTGTTGGGGCTGACATCATATCCAAGATGGCGGTGCCCATTACCAATCTTAGGGATTTTCATGTCTTAACAAGGAAAGTTTTTATAATTAAATAAAATGCCTAAAATATTTTAAAAGCACATGTAGATTTCTTCACAGTGAGAGCTGTGAAAATGTGGAATACACTGCCTCAAGAGTTGGCTCTGGCCATCAGTGGATTGTTTTAAAAAAGGCCTGGATTCTTTCTTAGATATACAGAATATAACTGGATACTAACAATTATAGGTAAAGTTGATCCCGGGAATATCCGATCACCTCTCGAGGGATCAGGAAGGGATTTTTTTTTTGCAGGAGCAAATTGGCTCATGCTTTGGTGGGTTTTTTTGCCTTCCTCTGGATCAACTGTGGGTATAGAATTATAACTTTTTTTTTTTGAAAAATTTTTTTATTTTAATGGTTAAACTGGATGGATCTTTGTCTTTTTTTAGCCAGACTAACTTTGTAACTATATATTATTATGGGAAGATGTTTGTGGAAATAAATGGTCTGGAAACAGGGTCTTTAGAAATTATTTATTGGTGATTAAATGTGAGGCGTGTAACTTTTCCTCACTTTGAATACCCAATAATGTCATAGTAAATATCCATTTTTTTATTATTTTATTTTTCATGTACCAAAATTCTCTTTGCAAAATGACCAGCTTTAACTTTAGTAAATCAGCCACTTTGTGTTTACTGTATTTTTCAAGGTTTGCCATTTTAGTTCAGCATTATCTTCTGGCTTTAACAATTGAAAAATATAATTTATTAAATAAGTGCTAAGTACTTTTTTTTTTAAATCTAGAACTAAAATTCTACAGTGAATACAAATCTCATACTTGAATACATGGATAACTAAGAAAGGCTGAAGTATTTTTAGGTGCCTGTGAATTTGAAGTCACTCAAACGCTCCTGTTAGAAAGTGATTTTTTTTTTTCAGTGATCAATCTTTTCCCAGCATGCAAAGCCCAAAACTCTTCTGTGTCTTCTAAATCCTCTCACTACATTACGTGAGGAAACTGCCAGCACATGTATAGAAAAGAGCTGCAAACATGGTGATAGCAGTAATCTTAAAAGCTCTCACTATCTTAGTGTGCTGCAGGGTATCATGGTAATGAATGTGTTAAGCTGAAGAAATGATCTTGATATATACTCACCCTAGGATTCCCACATGTATGCATCCAAAGTTAAATGCATGGTTACTGCCACTGTATACAGAAGGATTTGTATGTCATGGTCAGACCAAGCTGCTAACAGATGATAGATGGCATCGCTAATATCATTAGATAATCTTCCTAATAGAAGTACCAAAGGAAAGGGAGGGCAGAAGCTTCTGGCTGTTGATGAAAATAGACTCAAAGTAGCCAATAGCAATCATATGGAAAGATCTAGAGGTGCCTACATATTGCTGCATCATCCTCTCAAACCTTCGTGTCATGGCCGAAGTTCAGGCTGCTCTGACTGACAAAGATTTGATAGGAACTTGCCTGCTCCTTCCTACTTTCTGAACATTCATAATAACCAGTGAAGCTGCCTGTCGTGGTAATAGGCCAAATACATGTTTGTGGGACTTAGTGGTAATCCCTAAAACTACCCAAAAGTGTCAGACCTTAGCCTGTCCGAAGAGCCCAGCTTGGTCAGTGACTAAAAGGTTTGGGAGTCTTCTGCATCTATGGTAGCCTTTCTCAACCTTTTCAACACAAAGGAACCCTTGAAACTCCAGTCTCAGGGAACCCCTGTAAAAATGTCTATGGGGACTACTGTACATCTCATGATACATTAGTGCAATGATCAGTGTGAAGACTGCTCCTTACACTTGTGATCATTTGGAAGAATAACCCCTTTACAGGTAGCTGAAAGAATCAGTGGTGTCAGTGGGAACTCATCTGAGATGCAGAAATTGCTCAAGGAACCCCTAGCAACCTCTGGAGGAACCCTAGAGTTCTGTGAAACCCTGGTTGAGAAATCTAGATACCTACACTCAATACCTGCAGCAGTTTGCACTCCCTTCCCCCTATTCCCAGAGTTGATAAAAATGGAACTAAACTCATTCATTTAATGGTTTCCCAAAACAGATACATTGAAGACATACCACGAATGATGAAAGTCACAGCTGCTTATGCTTTCAACCAACTGATAAGCCATCAAATGGCTGGCATTATAGCTGATCACATGTGCAGTACCATGGCAACAGCGGATGAAACCGAGCCTAAGATGGCATCTTCCTTGACTGTAAAGGATAGAAGGGTTTAGTTCCACTTTGTCTATTCCGAAGAAGATGGTAGACTTTATGCAAAAATCTTTACAGGCTCTGAAAAGAAGGGTTTGAATGAAAGTAGCTGTCTAGTATGGGGGCATAAAAAGGAGCAAACATTTGCAGCAGGAAAAAAAAAAAATATTTGGCAGGCAAGCCGTGGTTATTCTGCATGGCTGAAAATACATTTTGTGTCTGCCTCGTTCTCTGCCATTGCACTTTTCAAAGACAAATGACCCTTTTTCTCTTACAAGAAATTACCTTTTGAACCTTGTATGACTTAAACTGGTCATTTATGAATGCTTTGATTTTTCTTGCAGAAGGCAAGTCACAGACCTATAATTGTGATGACTTCTAATTTAGTGTCCTCAAATGACAAAGTCAGGAGGTTTCTTTACGAATAAAGCGATGTCTGATCCTGTTCCTTAGAGTCCTAGACTAACAAGATCATTAGTAGAAGGCAGCACATCTGATTGGCAGCAGCCCATTTTTTTTTTTTTTTTATGGCTATAGTATGTTAACTCATCAAGTATGAGACAAGGCACATGATGTTAAAACAAATCTTTGTTTTTTGGTTTTTATTAGCCTTAAAGAAGAACATGAATGTATTCATAAGTTTAGAAAAAGCAGGCTTTGAAGCCCAAAAATGCATTTTGCTAGTTTTGGATATAGTTCGGAAATTCAGGGTGAAAATCTCTTAGGTTTAAAATGTAGGCTTGGTCCTCTTCATTCATCGCCATTTGTTTTTAATCCTATTCTGTATATGAAGATTTTTCCTCACTTCCTTTTCTGTCTGACATCCATCAAATCTTCCAAACGGACACAGACCATAAATGTTGGCAAAGGTTCCAAAATGTTCCTACTGTATGCCAAATTAAAAAGTCGGTAACTAGAGTTGGAAGCGAACTACAAAAACAGTTTTCAGTCTTGTGCGTTTGCAGCAGTAAGATTATCTGCACAGAATTTCTACTGTTACTGTGTAATTATTCCAAAGTTATGGGCGAAATAGGGTTTTGTATGGTATCTGCCCATCCTCGGAGGTCTTACATGCCAAAATCCTCATCTCAATTTGGCTGACTGATTGCAGATGCGTGGTGAATGCTTAAGTTCCCATTGTCTACAGAAGAGGAAATTACTGGGTATCAGTGAAAAAGAAAAGCTCTCTGCAATTACAATCACTTTCATCAGTTAGATCTGCATATTCATGCAAAGGCTGTTACTTCCTTTTATTGGGGCATATATGGCCAGTCTTGGGCCTTATTCACACTGGCACTCATACCTTTAATTTTTTCTAAATGTAGAAGTATGAACAACTTTTACATTTCCCAAATGACTTTTCCATTGTTCGGATGTTCCTGCTTTAAAGTGGGTTTTGTTGCTTTTGGGCAGGTTTAGTCACATTTACATGCATTTACAAGCATTTTGAGTGTCTAGAGAAAATGGTATTCTGTGCGTCCATAATCATTTAAACACTGCTAAACTGACTACCCAAACGCAAGTAAATGCAGTAAGAATGGCAACATTGAAAAATAAGTACATCTATTTTTAAACTTTTAGAAATGTCCTTTAAATGCATATAAACACAGGTTTGACAGTGCCAGTGTGAATGACATCTAGGTTTTAGCCATGCAAGACTGTCCTCATGTGCCCACACTTGAGAGAGGTGAATTGCATGTAATCGATTTGATACAAAACTGATCAATGACAGAGGTTTAAAATAGAACGCATTGTAATTCACATAGAAAATTGCATAGGAACGCCTAAGATTTTGTTTTTAAGTATTTTATAAAGTTATTTTTTTCATTTTTGTTTTCATTTAGATCAAAGATACTTTCCTTAGGACATACACTGAAGCTATCCAGAATTACAATGGCAATGATGAAAGAAGTCGTGCAGTTGATGATGTTCAGAAAAGTGTAAGTAGCTAACTTTGTGTGGCTAGGGTAGAGCTTTATACATATAGTAACTATATCTTCTACAAACAGTACAATGAATCCAATTATTTATTCCTTTACAAGCATTAGAAATATCTCCACATGCATAAGGTGATTGTAGCCAAATTGGTGCACTGCATGTTTTTTTTTTTTTTTTTTTTTTTTTTTAATTTGTGCTAAGGTTACATTAACAGTCCATTTATAGGACCATGTATTATCTATTGTCCATGTGTTTTCTTTTGAAATTAACTGAGACACATTTGACTTACATTTTTAAAATGCATTGCAATGCATTTTATATCAATGTGCCTAAAAGTGAAAGGACATCCACATTTTATAGCGTGTTTAAAGTGTGCCGTCACTGTAAATGCATATGGGTTGAATTTGGCAAGTGTAGCTACAGCCCAACAGTTCATTTTTCAAAGTATATACCCCTTTCTTTTGGACCAGAAGAAGCTAGAAGCTTGCCCAAAACAATGAACTGCCAGCACAAATAAAAAAAAGTAGCAAGGATTTTGACACAGGTTTTCAAAGCCATAGATGTTTCGTTTGATGGCTTCATTCTTCTATATACTTAAAAGTTCTCCTAGTAAAAATTGAACTGACAAGCAATAGCAGTGGCTTAAAAAAAAAAATCAAGAAAAGGCTTAAATATCAAGTGTCCATGGCTTAATCTCAAAGCTTCATGTCTCACAATTTGAAACCATATCAAAGTATTTTATGACAGGCAGACTAACACAATTCTTGGAACAATTCACACCTGTGCATTGGGGTGTGTTAAAGGATAAGTTCACCTTTGGGAACGTGTTACATGTTCCACCCGTTTTTTTAGGGTGGAACATGTATCATGTTCTTAATGCAGCAGCTGCTGCCCGATTCCCCGACCCGTGACAGCAATACAGGGAGAAGTCCCCATACAAGGTGTCACATTTTAAAAACAGCCGGGCTCCACCCACACGGCCGGATCATTCATTCACAGAGTTTTGTGAATGAATGGACTGCATGTACTACAGTAGTAGGCAAATACAAGACTACAGTTCTCAATGAAGCTCTATGGAGCGCCCTGGTAGTTCATTTATTCTTCCTGTCAGTGTATCTGTTTGCCCTTATGAAATATACGAGAAAGCAGATATACTGACAGGTCTGCAGGAGACCTGCATGGCCCCAGTGATCTGCTGATCGCTGGTGCAATGCCTTACAGGCTCCTGCAACAAAGAAAAATAAATACACACATTTTTTTTTTACCTGCAAAAAAATGTGTATTTATTATTTTTTGTCAAAAGGTGAGCTTATGCTTTAAAAAAGTCCTGCTTGTCAGTGCTTTACACATACCTGTAATAAATAAATAGGGCAGAAGAAATACATGGCAATTTCTTTGCTTGGGCTCAGCTAGTCCATGTGCAAGAGCCCATATAGGGTACATATTTATCAGATCATATTCGCATTCAATACAGATAAGGTTTGATACATTTGACAATGGTGTCATAATTATCTTACAGAAAATATATCTGCTTATATGCAAATAGGGTTCATCACAACGTAGCAACATTCTATACAGATGGGGGTTAAAGCAGATTCTACCCAAAAGGGGAAGTTCCACTTTAAAGATTGGTCCCCCACTCCCCATTAAGGATTAGCACCTTTGGGGAGCGGGAAAGGGTACCTGAATTTGACAGGTAACTGCTCCCACTTCCGCTGCGATCGCATAGGCGATCGGAATCGGAAGTTGTCCTCCTACCCTCCCTCTTGTGGGACACATGACAGGTCCCAGAAGACGACGGGGCCATTCAGGAAGCGCAGCGCTACTCGCGCAAGCGCAGTGGGCACCCGGCTGTGAAGCCACAAGCTGTTGGGTGCCCACACTGAAGATGCCGGTGCCCGGAATACAGGCCGGCTGGTGAAACGGGCAGCAGTGGGGGCAATGTGGAATCGTGGGACAGGTGAGTGGCTGTTTTTTAAAAGTCAGCAGCTATAGTTTTTGTTTTTTATTTTTTTACAGAGTGAGTGGAACTCCGCTTTTAGGCCACATGTACACTGCAGTTGCTTCTACAGGCATTTTAACTTATTTTTTTCTCTGCCCGTAAAATCCACTCCATGTCAGCCTATGTGTCCATGCATACTATAGGTGTTCAGGAGTTTAGTGGCATGGGAGTTTACAGGCAGAAAAAAAAAATATCAGGAGAGGAGCTTTTGAGTATAAAAATGCTCAAAAGTTCCATAATGCTCATTAGCATGCATCAGCACTAGGCACATTCCCACATTAATGCATTCTAATGGCCAGAATTCTGTCCAGTAGAATGTATTCATTCCAGATGTGGGAACACACATTACTGTACATGCAAAACACATCATTTTACTGCTTTTTTTACTGCTGCTAAACTCCTGTAGGAGAAAAAAGTCAATGGCATTCAGTGTGCATGAAGGCTAATACATTGACAGTGGTATCTTAATTATCTTTGACAAAATTTATCTGCTGCGGTTATTATTATGTTGGGCAAATAAGGCATATTGTGCTTCAAGCAAATACATTCAGAAATTGAGAAGTGCTCTACTATGTATAATAGTTAATTGGGGGGATTAGAAGTGGAGAGTGTGAGTGAGATGCAGCTGACTGACAGGGAATTCATGCGATAGTATAAGATTTGAGCAGGTTACAACTCCGAGACAGGGATCCAAATCTGGAGGCAAAATTAATGGATCACTCCTAAGCTTTGTTCAGGGAACGTTTGGCCTGGTAGTCCAAACCAAACAGCTGCAATTTTCACAGGATTTGTAGCCTATATACTAATTTATCTGCATCACACTTGATTTTAGCGCCTGCTTGTGCCCAACATGCTTCTCTGTAATAACCGTACACAGCAGGAGACAGCATATATATTGGTGACAAGTTATCCTATTGCTTATGTCACATGACCCACGAGCTACCAGCATAGGTGTGCGCAACTTATTGCATTAGAGTGTGCACCCCAAAGCTCAAACACACATGTCTGTGTGTAAATAAATGAAAACAAACATTTTAAAATGTATTAAAGCATGTAAGTCAGTAGGGCAGTGAACAGGTCAATATGGCAGAGGTTGGTGTCGGTAGCACAGTGGGTGGTGTCAGTCAGTAGAGCAGTGAGCAGCAGGGGAAATCTTCTCTGCACAGGGTGAATAGGGTGTGTCCAGGCACATCTGGTACACCCTGTATACATACCTATGGCTACCAGTAATCCTGAGCATAAGTAACTAACCTTCAGATAAATTTATTAATTTAATTAATATTAATTAATTTTCTAGGAAGTACAGCTCCTAGGGCTAAAATTTAAACTTGCCACAAACATAAACATGTTGGTACTTATTAATATTAGGGATGCACCGATACCTTTTTTGATCAGTGAGTACGAGTACCAATCGCTGATAATGAGTACTGATACTTTGTGGTGCAATTTGCAAAATATATAGATGCAAATTGCACCACAAAGAATAGCATGCAATTTGAACAGGAATGTGGTGCAATTACAGTCCAAATCGCATGCGGTTTCCCCACTGCTCCTGTGTGAACCCAGACTTGTCATAGCCTGAGTTCACACAGGAGTGGTGGTGTGGGAAACCTCCCTGCACTTATCCCATTTTGTCACAGAAGGAAAATCTGGGGATTTGAAATCCCTGCGGCATTCTCCCCTCTTAGTGCAGGCATGACCGTACAGGCTAGACTGCTTTTGATTGGTCAGGCCCTGTTCACACACACTGCAGTGACCTACATTTTACTGCACTGGAAGAATGCAGGTCAACAGAAGGACACATAGAAAACAATTGTTTTTTCTATGTGTCCCATTCACATGACAATTCTGGAGTCATGTGCAGTGCTGAGCGTTATGTTAAAATTTCAACGTAATGCAATGCACATAAATGCACATCAATGCAATGCTAATCTATTAAAGGAGAAAAAAGTGTTTCATTATTTTGTTCCCTACAAAGACCCAGAGAAATTTACCGTGCATAAAAATGCAAATCAATGTGTGTTAAAACGCTTGTCGAGACACGAACAGAAATGAGCAGCATGATCGAGTTGCCAGAGAGAAGTCTTTACTGTGCCAATACCACAAAAAAGCCTGGTGAGGCGTGTCAACATGTTGTCCAACATATTGTAACAAGGCTTTTTTGTGGGCATTGGTGCAGTAAAGGCTTTTTTCTAGCAACTCGACCATGCAACTCAATTTTGTTCAAGTGTCGTCATATTGTGCTCCTTGAAACAACTACACCGTCTTTTTCCAGAGCAGCCAGTATTTCTCCTGAAGTAACCTGTAGGTTTTTCTTTGTATCCTAAGCAATTCTTCTGGCAGTTGTGACTGCAACCTTTCATGGTCTACCTATACTTGGCTTTGTGTTAAGAGATCCCCAAATTTCCCACTTCTTAATAAATTATTTAACTTTACTGACTGGTATATCCAAGGCTTTGGACATCTTTTTATAGTCTTTTCCATCATTATAAAGTTCCATTAGCTTTTTACACATCACAAGTGTAATAAAAGCGCCACACCCTTAATACTTTAAAGCAGCAATTCCACCTCAAAGAAACCAAATAAATTTCTTAGTGCTATAACTTAAATAAAGGAATGCGCTAAAACCACAAACTATTCCTAATTTAGTGTAGAAACATTAGTGCAAAAGATATATATATATCTATTCTCAATTAATATAAAAAAATATCAAAATTATGTGCAAAACTATTTTTTAGTGCATAAGTAATTTAAATAATTAAATTTGTGAATATAAAAAAAATGTCCAATTCTGAATTTCTTCAAATGTCCAAACAAATCCTTTTCAAATTCAGGTGCTCTCAAAGAAATTGTGCCAAAATCCATCCACCAGAGCTCAATCAATCTCTAGATAGCAAAAAAAAGCTTTTTTCTCTGGGAGCAGATGCAATGAATAACTATCAATAGCTACACAATCATCTTAGGTATTATAATGGTTCCATTATATCACTCTCTCTTTTTATATCTCTCCACCGAGGTCATGTTTGGGAATGAAAGAGAAAATCATGGTGCAGCCAAACATGACCTTGGTGGAGAGATATAAAAAGAGAGAGTGATATAATGCTCCTGGAACCATTATATTGAGTGGTGGATACCTACCTTATGGATGATTGTGTAGCTATTGATCATCACACCTGAGAAGTTGATTCATTGCATCTGCTCCCAGAGCAAAAAGCGTTTTTTGCTGATCTAGAGATTGATCAGCATGGAGCTCTGGTGAGTTACCCAACTTTACTTTTGGTGGTGGATTTTGGCACAATTTCTTTGAGAGCACCTGAATTTGAAAAGGATTTGTTTGGACATTTGAAGAAATTCAGAATTGGACATTTTTTTTTATATTCACAAATTTAATTATTTAAATTACTTATGCACTAAAAAAATAGTTTTGCACATAATTTTGATATTTTTTTGATATTAATTGAGAATAGATATATATATCTTTTGCACTAATGTTTCTACACTAAATTAGGAATAGTTTGTGGTTTTAGCGCATTCCTTTATTTAAGCTTTTTACACATGTCTTTTGATAGTTCTTTTCTGCTCCCCCATGACTCAGTATCTAGCCTGCTCAGTGCATCCATGTGAGAGCTAACAAACTCATTGACTATTTACAAAAAAGGTGGTAGAATGGGACTTTTGAGGCACACCAGTATTCATAAAAATTACATTTTTATTTAATCAATATGTTAAAAAGTACATATTATTGACGTAATGCATCATCATTGCATATAAAATGTTGTAACAATTTATTACAATAAAAACATCTCATTCATGTAGTACATCAGATCCAAGAAATAATTTACAGAAAAATGGCCCAACGCATTTCCTGAACAAAGTCCACTTCTTCAGGAGCCAATATATGCACCAATATTGTAAAATAATAACAGTATTCACAATTAATACAACTTGGCATAATAATCAAGATCAGCATCCCACTGTATAGATGGTAAAAAAAAAAAAGGGAGCCCCTGGAAACCACAAGGGGGGGGGGGGCGCAGAAACAAACATGGACCTGTGGAGGAGCCCATATTGCTGGGATTCCACCCCCTCTTCCCCTCCCCCCCACCCCTCTCCCTGCAGTACCAGTATAGTATAATATAACTGAATAAGGTCTACAGGCATACTTGGGCTGAATTATAATATACACATATTTAACTGGTTAGATGCTTATAATGATTTTTGAGTATAGACACCTCAAAGGGGGCTACATCTATCAACCTCCTAGTGGAGTGGAGGTAGTAGCTACAATGTGTACAAAACTTCCCAAAAAGACAAAGATGAAAAAATTATACAATACACCCCTATCTCTGCAATGATCTACCATACAAAAAATATTTTTGTATATCCACAGATCTCAATCAATGTTATACATAATGCACAAGGAATTATCTGAACTAAGTCTACCTTTAAAAATTCAGAATATCCCCCAAAAAGCTGAAGGCCATAAATATGTATCTACATATGGTCCATAACCACTGGTTCCTCTGTGGAGTAATACTTTTCCCTCAAAGGGGTCTATAATGAAAATGTAAAGATAACAAGGGATATGTCAATGCATATGTCAGCCCATAGGAAACCATATAAACACAACCCACCTTAGTGGAAAAACTTCCTATCACAATGAGACTTACACCATCCGCTTCCATCTAGTCCAAATGCAGCTATCCAACATATTATGTATTCATGTTCTAGAGGACCACACCACAATCCTACAAACACAAATATCCATGGAGTAGTGACCTGACCTTATTAAAGATATCTTCCTGCTACAGTCCATACTCAATACACTAGCCTATATGCTCACCTTGTCTATAATAATACAGACACCGCTACCAAGTATCCTGGCCACCACCATCCACCAGAGAGAGGGAGAGGAGACAAGATAAAGGAATGGAGCCCCGCACTAAATAGGCCCACTAATGGGCCGATGGTGGTGATATCAATCACCCGGGACAGGTGATTTCAAGATGGCCGCCGTCTCCTTAAGAGACAACTGTATATACAGTATAGCTATCTGACACAGTCTATATAGGGATAAGTTATTCCTATGCTGATTCCTCCATCATATTGTTAATTTGCCAAATGCCAATCGTTATATTTTTAGATCTCTAGTATTTTTTACCCATTATGTCACACTATATAACATGTTTATTGCATTTACGATTTCCTTTTTTCTCACAGTTGAGTTGTTGTGGTGTTCAGAGTTATACCAACTGGACCAGCAGTATTTACTTTCATGAACATGGAATTCCGCCCAGCTGCTGCTCCAACATGAGTGACTGTAATCCGTCAGATATGCGCAACATGACTATCGTTCCACATAAGGTCTATCAAAGGGTAAGTGCATTGGGGCATTGATATATTTTCTAAAAAAGAAAAAATCAGTAGTTGTGTGCATGTGTAGAAGTTCAAGTGATCATTTGTAGGTATATACTGTATTATTCAGTGGTCAATTCAAAAACTGTTGGGTGAGGTGCAATATTTTTTCTCATCAAGGATCATATTTACCTAGGTAAAACTTGGTATCAGAGGATGAAATGGAGGTATAGTTTGGAAGAATCAAAAGTGTGGCACTCAAAAATAGTGAAAAAACTCAGTAATCAATATAGTGACTGGTTATCCCATTTCAAAAAGTGCCCACTCACATGTAAAACAAAGTGCATAAGACTTCAAAGGTGCCACTGCTTCAATAAACTGTGAAACTGTGTTCTATATTGTGTCAGTGGACCTCCAAAGGAACAAAATCCATCTAGGATATACCAGCAGACTGCTTACCAAGACACCTGTGACCATCGGATTATAAATGGTTTTAAACAGGCTTGAAACTAATTCTACAGCTCTATCCACAGGGTCCCAGGAAAATTTCTGTTCAACACAAGATAACATGAAGGGGTGGTAACAGACAGAAGAGAGCCAACGCCATAGTGTAGTATTCACATGAACCGCTTTAGTAAAAATAAACTGTGCACTCACATTAAAAAATCTGTTCCACCACACTGTTAAAATCATGTGGTATAGACATAGCTTTTTGAAATTCGCTAGTATAACAATTAACTAGACATATTGCGCCATGTTGCTATTTCTTTTTTGTATCATGTCCTACTATGTGAAATACTACTGTGATGTGTCAGTAAACTTGCTGCCATTTGGCTTCTCATTAATTGAGGGTGATAAGCAGTAAGGCATATGTACTTGATAAACACACAGAAGGCCTTCTGTCACCCAAGATTTTCAACCATGTTTGTTTTATCCTGGGAAATATATATATATATATATATATATACACACACAAACACAGTGTCTCACAGAGGTGAGTACACCCCTCACATTTTTGTAAATATTTTATTATATCTTTTTATGTGACAACACTGAAGAAATGACACTTTGCTACAATGTAAAGTAGTGAGTGTACAGCTTGTATAACAGTGTAAATTTGCTGTCCACTCAAAATAACTCGACGCACCGCGATTAATGTGTAAACCGCTGGCAACAAAAGTGAGTACACCCCTAAGTGAAAATGTGCAAATTGGGCTCAAAGTGTCAATTTTTTGTGTGGCCACCATTATTTTCCAGCACTGCCTTAACCCTCTTGGGCATGGAGTTCACCAGATCTTCACAGGTTGCCACTGGAGTCCTCTTCCCCTCCTCCATGACGACATCACGGAGTTAGTGGATGTTAGAGACCTTGCACTCCTCCACCTTTCATTTGAGGATGCCCCACAGATGCTCAATAGGGTTTAGGTCTGGAGACATGCTTGGCCAGTCCATCACCTTTACCCTCAGCTTCTTTAGCAAGGCAGCGGTCATCCTGGAGGTGTGTTTGGGGTCGTTATCATGTTGGAATACTGCCTTGCGGCCCAGTCCCTGAAGGGAGGGAATCATGCTCTGCTTCAGTACCGTGGCTACTGTGCTGCAGCTCAGGGTCTTGCAATCTTCTTATAGTCTAGGCCAGTGGTCGGCAAGCCGCGGCTCGTGAGCCACATGCGGCTCTTTACAAACTTAAATGCGGCTCTTCTGTGTGCCGGGCTCCCGCTCCCCTCCCTCCTATCGGGCGGCCGCCCCCTCCCCCTCTCAGGCGGCCGCCCCAAAAGTCAGGACTCTGCAGCTGTCAGGATGTAGGCAGGGCAGCCAGGATGTAGGCGGGGCAGCGTGATGAACGTGAGGGGGAGCTAGGCTCCTCTCACAGTCCGCCCTGAAGACCGGAACGGCACGGGAACACGGCGAGAGGAACGCGCGGAGCAAAGGTAAGTAAATTGACACAGGGGGGACTTGGCTTACTACTTGGGGGGGGGGGAATAGTACTATGGGGGATGAATTACTATATGGGGGATGAATTACTATATGGGGGATGAATTACTATAGGGGGGATGAATTACTATGGGGGATGAATATATACTATATAGGGGGGGGAAGGATGAATTACTATATGGGGGATGAATTACTATAGGGGGGATGAATTACTATAGGGGGGATGAATTACTATATGGGGGATGAATTACACTAGGGGGGATGAATTACTATAGGGGGGGTGAATTACTATAGGGGGGCGAATTACTATATGGGGGATGGAATTACTATAGGGGGGTGAATTACTATGGGGGAGTGAATTACTATATGGGGGATGAATTACTATGGGGGATGAATTACTATATGGGGGATGAATTACTATGGGGGATGAATTACTATATGGGGGATGAATTACTATATGGGGTATGAATTACTATGGGGGATGAATTACTATATGGGGGATGTATTTTCAGTTTTAAAAATGTGGCTCTCAAAATAAATTTCAATCGTGGTTTTGGCGAGATTTGGCTCAGTTGAAAAAAAAGGTTCCCCCCCACTGGTCTAGGCCATCTTCATGTAGAGAAACAATTCTTTTATTCAGATCCTCAGAGAGTTCTTTGCCATGAGGTGCAATGTTGAACTTCCAGTGACCAATATGAAAGAGTGAGAGTGATAACACCAAATGTAACACACCTGCTCCCCATTCACACCTGAGACCTTGTAACACTAACGAATCACATGACACCGGAGAGGGAAAATGGCTAATTGGGCCCAATTTGGAAATTTTCACTTAGGGGTGTACTCACTTTTGTTGCCAGTGGTTTAGACAATAATGGCTGTGTGTTGAGTTATTTTGAGGGGAAAGCAATTTTACACTTTTATACAAGCTGTACACTCACTACTTTACATTGTAGCAAAGTGTCATTTCTTCAATGTTGTCACATGAAAAGATATAAGAAAATATTTACAAAAATGTGAGGTGTGTGTGTGTATCAGCCTGATAGAACTCCTTTGGGATGAATTAGAGCAGAGACTATGAGCCAGGCCTTCTCGTCCGACATCAGTGCCTGACCTCAAAAGTGCGCTTCTGTAAGAATGGTCAAAATATTCTGATAGACACCCTTGTGGATAGCCTTCCCAGAAGAGTTGAAGCTGGTATATCTGCAAAGTGTGGGCCAACTCAATATTGAACCCTACAGACTAAGACTGGGATGCCATTTAAGTTTATGTGCTTGTAAAGGGAGGCGTCCCATCATGCACTGAATTATAAACTTGGGTTGTTTCACTGTTTTAGAGCACTGCACTTCTGATTCTATATCCACTTGGTGATCAGCGACATACCCGTATGGTTTGCTGTATTGTAAAAGCAATCATAGTTGCTAATTAGCTGCTGGACTGCTTTTATAAGCACAAATCTTGGTGTGATCAGATGCTTTTAAGGGCATGACCAGAGACTGCAGACATAGTACAGGAGATGACCAGAGACTGCAGACAGTGCAGGTGATGACCAAGAGACTGCAGACAGTACAGGTGATGACCAAGAGACTGCAGACAGTGCAGGTGATGACCAAGAGACTGCAGACAGTGCAGGTGATGACCAGAGACTGCAGACAGTACAGGAGATGACCAGAGACTGCAGACAGTACAGGGGATGACCAAGAGACTGCAGACAGTACAGGGGATGACCAAGAGACTGCAGACAGTACAGGGGATGACCAAGAGACTGCAGACAGTACAGGGGATGACCAAGAGACTGCAGACAGTACAGGGGATGACCAAGAGACTGTGGACCTTTTGGGGAGGGAGGGGGAGCGGGTACCTGAATTTGACAGGTACCCGCTCCCACTTCTACGGAGTTGTCCTCCCTTTTGTGTGGGCACCCGGCTGTGACACCCGGGTGCCCACTGCGCATGCGCGAGAAGCGCTGCACTTTGTGAATGGCCCGACGTCTTCTGGTACCCGTCGTGTCACAGAAGACACTGGACCATTCACATAGCGCAGCGCTTCTCGCGCATGCGCAGTGGGCACCCGGGGTGTCACAAAGACTGTACAGCGCTTGCCCGAGGAGTAGGTAAGGGCCTGCTGCAGTGGCCGGCCCGGTATTTTTATTCCATCCCATAAGACGCACTGACGTTTTCCCCCCCTTTTTGAGTGGAAAAAAGTGCGTCTTATGGAGCGAAAAATACGGTATGTCATTTGTTGCTGTTTTGTTGCAATATTTAAGTGTGTCATGTTTGGTATCTTTTTACTTGGCATAACATCATCTTTTAAATTTGCCAAAGAATTGGGTATTATATTGTGTTTTTGTACATTAACATTGAAAAAAGTTTATTTTTTTCCCAAACAATTGTGTTTGAAAAAAATTGCTGAGCAAATACCATGTGACATAAACCCATGTTACTAAACCCAAGACCCTGCATTTGCTATATCTGGTCTCCCACAGTACACAGAACATGGAAATGCAATTCTATTTTAGTAAATATAAACTGTTAAATATTTTTCCCCATCAGCAGTTAGAGCAGTTTTGTGACTTCTATCGGTGTTCAGCAGAGCACTGGTTAAAGCTTGTAGGAGGAGTTTTCTGTAGGAGGATGCAGAACACTTGACCTCTGTCTGGACAGTGCTGATTGGCCCTGTGCTGATCACATGCACTCTCCCAAGAAAAAAAAAAAAAAAAAACCTCTCTAGCAATATACACCAAATTGAGCATGTGCAGTGTCTCCACACAATATGTCTTATCAGGAGATAAGAGGGAGACACTGGAAAAAGGGGAGGATCAGAGAAGTCAGGATCAAACCGAATTTTTACACAATGCAGAAGATTGAGTGAGTATAACAAGCATGCTTTACTGCATATACAGACTGATTTTACTGTTGTGGGTTTAGTGACACTTTAAAGTGGATATTTAGTTCATGTTGCATGTTCACAATATTTCTGCTGGCTACTGTTATTTTCATTTTTTATTTTGTCTTTATTTTTTTCACCAGAGTCTGGATTTTTATAATTTTATTTGCATTTCTTCATTTGTGAAGGGTAGCAAAGGATTATTC